CATCACACTCTTGGCAACTTCTTGGTCTTCCATTACTGTCTTTTGAACCTGTCTGACAAGGATAGAGAAATTCGAGCCAACAGAAGAGCACAAGGCAAACCTGTGTTGGAGCATAACCCTAACTGTTATGAATGTCAATCATGTGATTGTTTGTTGTTGTTACATCATAGGACATTTGCTAATTCTTCGATATGTTGATGCATCTAACTATGAATATTTGTCTCCATTCAAAGACAATCCAAAAAGCCAATTGAATGCCTTGCGTGAAGCGTATCAAGAGGCCTCAGCTGGCTCAATCATGTTCTGGTTGAAGAAGCCTATCACAGCTAAGATGGGTGATCAAACCATCACTGCTCATCTTGATTCCATGTCATCAGATTATCAACAATTTAAAGCGCTTGTGACTCCACAACGTCCTCTTACTGCCAACTCTGTCTTTGCAACTGCAGTTAGTCTTTCGCTTACATCTGAGTGGCAGCCAATTCTTGCTCCACTCCTTCAACGAGATACTGTATCATCAACCACAGTATTGAAGGTTTTACGAGAAGAAGCAACTCGCCGATTGATTTCTTCGGAAGATGCTGAAAGTGTCTTGTTTGCTAAGACAAATAAGCAGAAGGAGGTATCATGTTCTCACTGTAGCAAAGCAGGTCATGTCATTGATGATTGTAGAATTTTAAATTCAAAACTTGAAAAGTACAAAACTTTAAAATCAGAAAAGCTTACTTCGGAATTGTCCAAATCAAAACCGACTAAGAACCAAGTTCGACAAGCTAAATCAGCTTTGGCATCTCGTATCTTGTCGGGTTTGGATGTTTCAATTGATATCAACTCAGAAATGTCTGCTGCTGCTGTTACTAAAGCGTCAGTTGGTAAATCGAATGGATGGCTTGTGGACTTGGGTACTTCTCAGATCATGACACCGTTTTTCAACATTGTTTCTAAAAAGAAAGCGGACAATACGATGATAAGTCTTGTAAATGGATCAAATGTGAAGGCAGTCTCAAAAGGCTATCTTTCATCAAAAATTGTAAAGTCTCAGGAGATGTGATTGGCACTGGTAAGCGTCAAGGAAATATTTATTACCTCGATCACAAGGTATGTCAACAGATTCCTTCGGATACAACTTCGAAAGCTTCTATTTCTGATGTTCATCTATGGCATTTAAGGTTTAATCATCTGGGTTATGCTGCTTTGAAAAAGAAATTATCTTCTCTTGATATCAAAGTAGATGAGACTGAAATGAGGAAGTTGCAGACTTGTGAAATTTTATTCAAGGGAAAATGAGGTGTTGTAACATGTCAAGCCGGGCAGGTTGGAGGTCAATAAAACCACTTAGGGTGCGTTCACTTAAGCAATTTCTGGGGATAAATCACATTCCGTAAATTTTTTAATGCAAAAATGAAACATATACTACCAAATAGACACTTTAAATTTTGCAGAATGTGATTTCTCACCAGAAATCACTTAAGTGAACGCGCCCTTAGCGTTATTCACTCCAATGTGTCATCATACTCTGTTGTATCTTGAAAAGGCTCTAAATACTTTGTAAATTTTATTGATGACTATACAAGATTTACTAAAATTTATCTCATGAAATCAAAAGACAAAGTTTTGTCAAAATTTAAAATCTTTTATAATGAGATGACAAACAAAGTTGATGGAGTTATATCCGAGTTAAGATCTGATAATGGCACTGAATATATTAACAAGAACTTTTCTACTTTCTGCTCTGAAAACGGAATCACTCAGACAACTGGTCCACCATATTCGCCACAATTGAATGGAGTAGCTGAAAGGTGCAACAGAACAGTAAAAGAAAAGGTTCATTGTTGTTTAATTGAATCAGGTTTGCCGGATTATTTTTGGGGGGATGCATTAAAATATGCAATTGAGAAGCTTAACAATACGCCGACACGAACAGACAAAAAATTTCAAACACCAATTTCTCTTATGGGTCTTCATGAACGTCAAGAACATACATTCCATGCTTTTGGATGTCTCATATGGTTTCATGTTATAAAACCAAATTTGACGCTCAATCCAAGAGGGTGCAAAGCTATTTTTCTTTCTTATTTAACTAATAATGAAGGTGTGATAGTTTGGGATATAGAAAAGAAGTGTGCTTTAAACGCTACTTCTTTAATATTCCTCGACAAAATTTTTCCTGGATTAAAAACCAACTCACCCACAAAAATGACTGAGCCTGAAGGAAATCAATTACTTCCGTGGCCAACGTTGGAACACGAAAAACTTATCATTCCAACAAGCTCCGTGGATCCTGAAAATGATAAAGTCTTGGAAGAAACTTTGTTCAACCAATACGATCTCGACGTCAGCCTGATTGTTATGGCAAATATGGAAGAGCAGCTTTTATTGAATCAGAAAAGGATCCTGCAACTTACAAAAAGGCTAAGAAGTCCGTTAACTGGGATCTTTGGAAGTCAGCGGCTGATGCCAAAATGAAGTCTCTAGTGGGTACGGAAACCTGGAAGCTAGTTCCTAGACCTGCAAGAAGAAAAATTATTCAATGTAAATGGATCTTTAAAACAAAAAGAAATGTTGACTTGTCTGTTGATAAACTCAAGGCACAATTAGTAGCTTTAGGTTTTTCTCAGATCAAAGGAATCGATTTTTCTGAAGTATTCTCACCAACTTCTTGTCAAGAATCAATAAGGTTATTTCTTACCTTAAAGGCGAAGAACAGGTGGAACGGTGTATCAGTAGACATCAAAACAGCCTTTTTGAATGGAGATCTCGACGAGGAAATCTATCTGGAACTGGCTGAAGGATTTGAAGATGAAGAGCATCCTGATTGGGTTTATTGAATTCTGAGATCACTGTATAGATTGAAACAATCACTGAGACAGTGGAACATCAAACTTCACAAGTATCTTATTTCAATTGGTTTTACACATTCTTCTCAAGATCCATATATCCACTTCAAGAAAAATGAAGATGGAGAAATTAAATCAATGTTAGTTACTCATGTTGATGACATAGCTGTGACAGGAACAAGTGAAGAAATTGATGACTTTAGGACTTTGATTAAAAAGCGCTTTGAAGTTTCGTCTCACAAAGCTCTTTCTCATTTTTTTATCTTTGAACATCTCAAAATTCAAGGATCATAAAGTGACAGTTGATCAAACTCATTATATTACAAATTTCCAAAAGCAATTTATAAAGTTCAACGTCAAATTATATAATTCACCAAATGATGAAAATTTCAAGACTTTAGTTTTGTCAAGTGAAGAAGAAGAAGTGTTGGAGTTTCCTTACTCAAGTTTGATAGGAGGCCTGTTGTGGGTTGCCCAGTGCACTCGGCCTGATATAGCGTTTGGAGTGAATAGATTATTGCAATTCTTGAAGAAGCCGTCAAATAATCATTGGAATTCAGCTCTGCGTGTGTTAGGATATTTGTGGAGGACTAGGGATTTAAAGTTGAATTTAGGAGGTACTGATTTGGATCCAACAGCATACGCAGATGCAGATTGGGCTGAAGATCATCATGAAAGAAGATCAACAACTGGGTACGTTTTTATGTTAGGAAATGGCCCAATTTCATGAAGATCTAAAAAACAAAGGACGTCATCTTTATCAAGTACTGAATCTGAGTATATGGCAATGAGTGATTCTTGAAGGGAAGCACGATGGTTGGTATCTTTATTGAATGAATTAAATATTTCAAATAAGAAGGTTATTAAATTATGTGTAGATAATGAAGGCGCTGAAGCACTTGCACAAAATCCATCACATCATTCACGCACCAAACATATTCATACAAGGTATCATTTTGTACTTCAATGCGTGGAAGAAGGGATAGTTAAGTTGGTACATGTTTCATCATCACAAATGTTAGCGGATATGTTTACAAAAGGATTATCTAAAATTTTACTAATGAAGCATAGATTATCTTTGAATGTTTTTTAATCTTGTTATTAGCACGGGGGTGTTATGAATGTCAATCATGTGATTGTTTGTTGTTGTTACATCATAGGATCTTTGCTAATAAATTTCTCTGTAACATTATACTTATAACCATATTAGCATCAGTTCTATTTATACTGTTAGTTTGTGTGTTGTTTGGATTGGTTCTCTTCTTCTTTACCTTTCCATTAATGTCTGACACTTTCCCTCAGGTATGTTTACTATTTGCAATCAGACCTCTCCATTACTGTCTAACACTTTCTCTCAGTCGTGAATCCTTCTTATCACTGACACATCAATTACTACATCTTCCACAGACGGAGTAGATATGGCCGTCGACAAAAACGCAGACATTGGTCAAGAGTCAGACTCAGCCAACAAAGCAGATCAACAACTTGGTGAACAAGGGGGAGACGCTCCTCATACTGAAGAAGACCAATCTATCAACAACAAAGAAGAACTAGATGACTTTCAAGAGATATCATATGACAATAACTCAGAAGTGAACTCAGAAGAAGACACCAAACAAAGCAACCACCAACCGTCCTCTGAAGAATCCAAAAGGTGAAGAGGATAACAACAACACGTTGCATCACTCAACGTCCTTGTTGGAATAAATCCTAGTTACATGTTGCATTCAAATATTGTCTATGTTAGTACACAACAACTTGTAAGACATTACTCAAAACCTCTTGTTTCAAACTTTGACCCAACCATAATTGTACCGCACATTCAAGTATTCCATATCTTGTTGCTCTTAAAACTTTCTTTTCTTTCCTCATCACTTTAGAAAGTTTTCTTGTCAAACAATCTCCTTATCATACAACACTCTCTCCAGTCTTTCAGATCTTCTTTCTTGTTTACTGATAAGTGAATTGTTTGTTCTGATCAGGTATGATAATGTGCTATGCATGTTTCTTATTGTTTTTGTTTATCTTATAAAGAAATAAAATTATCTCTTTGGAAAGTTTTCTTGTCAAACAATCTCCTTATCATACAACACTCTCTCCGGTCTATCAGATCTTCTTTCTTGTGTACTGATAAGTGAATTGTTTGTTCTGATCAGGATTCTGAGAATCCTTTGGTCCTCTGAAGAAGACTCAGATCAATCAGAGACAGACAACTCCTTGGACACTTCTAAATCAAGTCAAGCAGAGGTTGAGTCAATCTCATCAGGATCACCATCAGATTCTGAAGATGAAGCAGACAACAAAAGCAAAAACAGAAAAGTAAAGAAGAAAAGGCACAATAGTAAGTATCCTCCTGCCAACTTCAGAATGAGCTAGAAGCATATCTCCACAAGTCCCCCCTTTTTCTAACCCTTTCCTTGCACCAACTAAAATTGTGACAGCGACCTTGAAGAGTTTGCGCTAAGGTACATCCCCAATGAACACATCAGTCACCCCATCCCATCAAAAGAAGTACAACTACCATGTTACCATAGTCTTGCTGAGAATACTTGCGACTTACCTCCAAAGAAATTGGAGAAGGCCTACCAGGCACAACTATTCATATGAATACCCCCTTTTTCATAACTTCTGCACTCATGAAGCTCTTCACTCAAAATCATAGCTGACTTGAACATGACGTACTGAATTAATGTAGAAGCAGAAGATAACATTAAGAAGTTGGAACGCAGACTAGCAAAGGCAAAAGCTGAAGCTAAGACAAAGGCAAAGAGAACATCAAAACCAAAGTCAAAGTCAAAACGACAAAATACAAAGAAAGGAAAGAAGGAAAGATCTACTGGCTCCAAGAAGAGTACTGTAATTCAGATAGAAATCGGAGTGATTCCAATAGGAGAACTTGTGCCATTACAAGTAAGCTTCAGAATACACAGAAACTTAAAACATATTCTCATCACATTCCTTTATGACCCATTCTGCGCTCCATAGCCTTTTTGGGCAGACCAAATGTAAGACTTGAACACATCAATCCCGTTAACAGTCTTCGACCAAGCTTTTGCAAGAGCTGATATGGAGGACCATAACAGAAATCACCATTTGTCTTCATCATCAAAGATAAAATTGGACAAAGGACTAGAGGCACCTGCCAAATTTGGTCTATCTTTTGGAGACTGGTCCGAGTGCATGAGGTTATCAGAAGGTACCTTGCTGGCTATTACGGTCAAGCCCCCCTGGCCAAACACCTCAAACTTCATATCAAAAACGTAAAATCCATCAAAAGATCTACAGAATGCTGGATGACTGTATTACAATACAATATCTTATGTAGATCACAGATCTTCATAAAACGGGTAGGCAAGGCACCAATGAAAGACATAGGTGCTCACATTGCTAAATATGAGAACCAAGAAAAGGAGAAGTTCTTGTGGTTCAACGAAGCAAAGTGGGGCAATACAAATCCTTATGCCAAGGGAGGCAGGTTAGAGTTTAAACACCCAGAAACCGGAATCTTTTGGTGAATCCTCTACTCTTCATACTCGCATTAGAGAAAGATGCATAAATGAAGAAGAATTTACTAACATTGACCCCTTAGCACAACTGCTAGATCAACATGAACATGAGTCCCACACCAAAGCACCTCTAATAAAAATGAATCTACCAAACGCAAACGGGGGAAACAAGGAGATTGTCCACAAAATGTAGGTACAAACCCTGCACAACCTATTCACAGGAACGTAGCACCTCTTCCTCAGATCAACTACCCCCTAACCCATTGATGTACCTGAACAACAGAGTCTCACCTCAAGCAACACCCATGGCATCCAACAAGTTTCCTGGAAGAGGAGGCAGAGAAGGTTGGAGAGGCGGAAGAGGTGGTTACCACAATAGATGAAACAAGGGGTAAGTTGAAACGCTCTACCAGACTACCTACAACCATCTTTCATGCCCTTATCCAGACAGACATTAGAGTCATGAGACTTGTAACTTCACTCCTTTATATTACTCCTGATTTCAAACCCTACCATTGCCTCATTTCATTTCATTCCCCCACTCATTCCTTAATGCATCTCTCTCTTTATTTCACTATTCTTTCATCTTCTCCTTGCAACCCTTCTAGACAATCCACACATGTATATGAATCTCAGCCTTAGAGTGCTTCACATAGTCTTCAGATCCATGATTATTGATTTACCATGAATTTCCAGCAATGCATTTCCTACATTATTTGTTTCCCAAAAACTCTTAAGCTCCCATGTGCCACTCTACCCACATTAGGATACGAGTCACTCAGAATCGAGGAACTGTAAATGAAATTCCAAATCTTCAGATACCAGAAGGTCCGAGAAATGTTACCAAGTGGCCACCAGGCATAAAATGCAATATGAAGATACACAAATGGAGGACGGCGCTACAAAAACACCACCTTCTTCCCCGATTACAGTTCATTCTAGATGGGTTTAAAGTTAGATTTGATCAAGGAATTCCACCACACACCATAGCAAGTCTTTCCTTCTTTTGCCCACCTGATCAAAAATCTGCTTTAGCAGCCTGGGAAGAAATCAAGAAGAACCTGAAGCAAGAAGTAGAAGCAGGGAGGATGTACGGACCGTATACCAAAGAAGAGATGGCCTCAAGATACCCATTCTTTTGGTCCAGTCCACTAGGTGCTGTTGTGAATGGAGACGGATCCTTCCGTCCCATCAACGACCTGTCCTTTTCAAAGAACAACCAAAACATCCCAAGCTTCAACTCCTTTGTGAACAAGGAAGATTTCATGACTGCATGGGACAACTTTAAAAAGTTGCCCTACACATTGCACATGCAACAGTTCCATTACACATCACCTTATATGACTGGCTTAAAGAATACAGGCAGATAGGCACACACCCAAGCCAATGGCCCTTTTTGCTAATCCAGGACTTTGATGGTCTACTTTACATCGACTTATGCATCCATTATTCTTAAGGGCGTGTTAAGGTCCTGAGCAGTAGGAATCTATATATAGACTTCTACTTCTGGGAATGCTCTCTCTGGGATTTCCCTACTCTGAAACCGGCCTGATCCGTAAGCCTGTCCTACCACCTTAGCCTACTGCACATCAGCTCCCATGGTACAGCACACTAACTATGTGGTCTGGGGTGGGTCCCAGAGTCTGATAACCATCAATATGGTTATCTGCCATATCTCAACACAGCCAAAGATGCCTCAGATTGAAAAATCTGAGGTATCATTGGACTCAAATCCTCGGACAGAATCTTTCCAAGGTTTTGATCCAAGGTATTATTTTGCGTCCAAAACACCTTGGATCAAATCCTTGGACAAGATCTGTCCAAGGGTTTCCATCTGATGATGCCTCGGATTGAGAAATCCGAGGTATCTATTTTGGCGGTGCAAACCAGGCCTCTGGGACAAGAACAGTGCCTAGAGAGTTGAGGACTTCTCAACCCCTCATCTCACAGGATTATAGAGCCGTGAGCCTGATAAGTCGAGACCCCAAACTTTCTCACGTGAGATAATTGTTTTCTGTTATCACGCTTGCACCTGTCCCCCCAATTCCCCAAAAACCTTGTACAGTCAACTCCCTCTGAATTGATATCCCTGTAAGTGCATAACTCTCTATGTGCATAGGTTTTGTTGCCGCCAAAAAGGGGTTTGCCAGCCAAAATGAGGTCTATAAGTGCATATTCCTTTAAGTGCATGAAAAAACCACATGCCAAACTGTATGTAATTAGAGGGAGTTGACTGTAGTTTCAAATTAAGCTTTTCGAAGAAAAGGCTCTACGCAAGTATCAAACTCTAAATTCAGTACCCTGTTTACAAGAGACCTCTTTATTGTTGAGACCGTGTGCAAAGGGGAGAAAAGAATAGAAGATCTTCTGTCATCTCATTCACTACCCTGTCCTAAATCTCCTCCCTAACCATCCTCTTACTTCTCCACTCCTCCACTGTGGTCCTAAAGATGCTGCTCAAACTGCTAGAGGGGGAACAAAGGAACTCTTCCGCCAGGAACTGAAACTACCGTGTCATCAATCTTTTCATTTACTCACATTGACTCAATTCCCTCTGCTCTGGTAGAACTTTAGTTCTTCCAATAATTTGATTGTCTTCTTCAGTTGTCTTGCATCAAACTTTTGGAGGTAGATCTTATAAGCCTCCGAACAACGGTGGCACGGCTAAGCTAAGTTAGCGCTTAGCGGTGCATTAGCTTAGCGATTTTTTGTCGCTAAGCTAGCGCTAAATCCTTAGCGCACTCAAGCTAAGCTAATCAACTTTTGATTTTTCCTTTAGCGGGTCTGCGCTAAGTTAAGCCGGGAGCTTAGCTATCAAAAAAATACATGTTTCAAGTGCAAAAAAGGGCCGCTAAGCTGCTATTAGTGGTTTAGCGGCCAATCAATTGGCTTAGCGGGTGTCATTTTACGCCCGCTAAGCTAATGGCTTAGCGTTAGCGGAAATCCGCTAAGATTAGCGTTAGCGGATTTTTCCTTAGCGGCTTCTAGCTAAGCTAAGCCAAGGTGGCAAAAATCCTTAGCTTAGCTTAGCAAGCCACCGTTGCTCCGAAGTCCATCTACAGAACGCCTTGACTTCTTCCCTTGAGGCTCCAAGGTTCCATCTCAGGGATGCTCCTCCTATCCTAAAGGAGTGTCTGTGCATCAATTGCTTTGAAGGTGATCTAACTTGGTTCCACGTTCTCCTGTACCGCTCAATCGACTTTGACTTCTTGAAGACCAAATTCTCTTCTCTGATCATGAACAGTTGGTCTGTTGGTAACCTTGGTCGTCGTTTGTACAACATCCTCAACGCTCTGACCGGGTCCAGGAACAATCTTTGGTTCTGAAGAAGATTGATTTAGGTTTCACCCGGTCTTGCCGTTTTGGCATCATGGATCTTGATTCTAGCAACCCCCAGGTCCCCACTCTACATCCTCCAATGTTGGCAGGAGCTTCTTCGGATCTTCTGATACCTACTCCCTCCATCTGGCCGTTCCCCAAAAAGCAACCAACACAATTGTCACCGCCAGCACACTTTGTTCAGCATTCATATCACACTTGTTTGCCAGGTGAATCAGATCCGAGATGAGTACTGGTGGTCTCTTGACTTCAATCGCTAGGTACACCACGTAAAATCTGGGGTGGCCCGTCGACGTGCACACACCGAGAGGTTTGAAATAAAATTGGATGTTTTGTGTTACTGTTTTGATTACTAGTACAAGGATCTGCCCTGAGCATCCCTTTGTCCACAAAAGAAACAAATAATGTTGGTTGCTTGCCAGTTGGATCTGGTAACAAAGGGACGTGATGACCTTTCTTTGTCATGAAACCGTTAATTTTTTTCATCCCCATTGTAGATACAATATCGAGAGTGGTTTGATCTTCAAACAACTTGTCAGAACTCTTGATCAACCATAGCTTACTCGCACAAACTATTTAAACACTAAGATCGTGCGGATCAAACAGAATTGTTGCCTTATTAACTGATCAACTTGCCCTTGAATACGTTTTGAAGTGTCAACCTTTAACAATGCGTTAGTCTTAGAGTTCTTCACATTTATATCCTCTATTGAAACAATACTGATGATTATCCTCATCAAAGCTCGCTTGTCTCAACACTGGAAGAAAGGGGCTGCTGTGACTTCATTGAAAGCTTTAAACGCTTTGGTCCGCAATTCCCTTCCACACTCAAATGACGCAATATGCCAATGGCTGGCCAGCTTCACCCAGTTCTTACTCGGATATAATCATTTAACTAAGACTTACCCACCTGGCCCTACTCCCAACAAACACTGTCAACTCCGACCCTCCAACCTATCAGTCAAGTGGACATTATTGTAAAGATGAGAGGTGCAGGCTCGAGATGAGCTGAGTATCGTGGCTATGCCAAAATATAGCAGATCTGGGGAAATCAGGTCTGATGTGAGTTTCGGCAACAGGCCTCACTCAGCTAAAAGATGCTAATAAGAACGAGACAAACCTGGGGAAATCAGGTCTGATGTGAGTTTTGGCAACAGGCCTCACTCAGCTAAAAGATGCTAATAAGAATGAGACAAACCTGTGCAAATGCAACAAGGTCAAGTAAAGAGATCAAATGAAAAGATGAGTAAACACTAAAATAAGATTCTTTTCGATGATTTGTAAACTAATCATACCTGGGGAAATCAGGTCTGATGTGAGTTTTGGCAACAGGCCTCACTCAGCTAAAAGATGCTAATAAGAACGAGACAAACCTAGCGCAACAACAATTAGTAAAAATGAAAGAAAGAGAAAGATATAGTGAAATGACACAAACTTGTGCGAATGCAACCAGGTCAAGTAAAGAGATCAAATGAAAAGATGAGTAAACACTAAAATACTGAATAAACATATATAAGAGCTAATGGTCAGGCTGATGATGTTACACCACGGGAATCATTAAGTGTGAAACCGGATTGAGCAAAGTCGTGGTGTCCAGGTCCGCGACTTCCTTCAATCACGGATCTCGTTTGCCACAGGTTTGCCATAGGTTTGCAAGCTTGTCTCGAGCTGCCCTCTACATAGTCATCCACTCAGGCTGTAGTATGGACTAATGGAGGTACCATATGTCTAGACTCTTGTAACATATACATAATAAAGCTCATGACTCATACATGATGATCTTGAGTGGTCTGAGGATATTGAAAGGAAAAACATGCATAACATGTACTGCAGCTCAGGCGGACAACTCGAGGGCAGCTTGATGCAAGCTAGCAAACCTATAGCAAACCTATGGCAAACGAGATCCGCAATTGAAGAGACACCGCGACTTTGCTCAATTGGGTTTCACACTTAATTATTCCCGCGGTGTTAGGAAGGATAGGTGTAAGGAAAATCACTCACAGATTCTTTTCGATGAGGGAAAAGAATCTGGGTGTTGAACAAC